ATATCTAACCATAAGCATAATACGGGGCGTTTGCCGGTTGAAAGCTTAGAATTTGAGCTTTAGCATTCGGGGGTCTGGGGGCTTCACGAAAGGGCTATAGGTTTCCATCTTTTTACAGAGGGCTTTAATACGTCGTTTGGAAGCCTTGATTCTACTGGTTTTAACAATGAAACATGAAAAAAGGTAGGTTTTGAGGGCGGGGCGTAGCATACATATATATATATGTGTGTATTATATGGTGTAGTCATCAATGGGAGACGGCTGCACGGAAGATCGCAGAAGCTAGGGCTTCGACTTCGCAAGGTTTGGGGCGGCATCCGCTTTTTACAAACCTATGACCTATATAGTATATATAATTATATAAAACATGTAGAAGGTAAAGACTGTGTGCCGCTGGAGCTTCCAAAGCTTGTCCCTTTTCGCTTCTCACTGCCGAATGTCTATTCGCGTCCGCATCCCAGCCGCGGGATGTCCTTAGCTTGCTGTGTTGTTGTGTTGTGCAGGAAGATCCCCGCTGCACTCCGTGCCCCAACATGGGCAATCTCACCATTGGCTGCACATCCACGGAGCTGCGTGTGCCACCCGGCTACATGGTCCGGGCCTTGGGCTGTAGCTCAGATCCTTCAGCTCAGCTCTATAGCCGTTGTTCGATGTGATGCCCGCCAGCTCTCGCAGAGGTGGATTTCGATCGCGACGTGGACGCCAATCTCTCTGCCTGGTATCGGTGCCCCAATGAGATGGCCCCTTGCACTTGCACATTGAAGTAGTTGTATGTCAGATGACCAGTGAAGAGGTTTGCTTCGCCTGCGACGTAGTTAGCCGTGAGTGAGCCGTGATTAGCTGAGGCCTGCCGCGGCGGACATTTCAATGCCAGCAGCGTCCCCGGGGCGCGCGCGCAGGACGGGGCCCGGGGTTGGAGGTGAATGCCTCTCAGGCGGTTGGAGGGCCTTGTGGGGATTCTGAGATCGACTCCAAGGCTGGAGACGTGGGACTGCAGCTTTGATTGGCTTGGTTTGGGCACACAGCTTCAAGCAACAGCATGTTTTGGATGCACCGTAGCCATCGCCTAAGCATTACGCGATCCTTGCAGACATCGGGGAGTATCAGGGGATCAAGTGTCATGGTGTGTGCTGGCAGGAGCTGGAGCCCATGTGTGAAGAGGGCTATCGTGGCCCCGGGACACTTGGTGCAAATTTGCGCCCGCAGAAGTCACAGCGAGAGGGAGAGAGAGGAGAGAGAGGGAGTAAGAGGCAGTCCTTGAAGCCTGCAAGGTTAGACTCGACAGTCGCTGTCGTGAATTTGAACCACGCTATGCTACCAAAAGAGGGATCTATTGTAAATCATGTGGCTTCCTTATGAGGGTACTCGCAACATCGAACTCGTTAACAGGGACCCAGTTCAGAGGTGGAGTTTTCATTCATCTTGGCCAGCCAGGAGCGCAGAGCTGTCGGAGCAGGATTTCACCAGTCAGGGAGGGATGGAGAGGGAAGGGGATGGAGGGAAAGCCGGTTTGCATAACGAGGTTGAGGTGGAGGAGGGAGGGGGGAGGGAGAGAATGGAAAGACGGCAAGAGGGAAGAAAGAAAGAGAGAAGTATGTAGAAAGGAAGCGAAGGCATCGAGGGCGGCACTCCTTGAAACCGCGTCGAGGTGCACGAGCTGCACTGAAGGCTACGCGCGTGCAGATGCAGATGTTCTGCAGTGCATCCCCTGCGCCAACTGGACCACTTCGCCAAAGCAGGCCGGGAACAAACAGAGGGAACAGGCACAAAGTGGGCAGTGCGGTTTTCAAGGTGGTGTGGTACGTCAGCTTCTTTCTCTTGAAGAATCTGGCCCTCTTCGTTTCGGCGGTTGTCAGCGCCGTTGGCCCAGGGTGCAAGGGAAAGCCTGAGCAGCATTTGTTGCCGGTGCTTGAATATGCTCGAGTCCCTGCCATAAGGTCGAGGGCAGCGGGGGCAAAAGGGCCGCCAGCGCCACGCTGCTGAATCAGGCCATGTCCTTCGCCGCTGTAGCCGGTGTGACCATGTGGCTCGGAACAAAAGCGGTGCCTGAGATTGCCTGAGTACCTGTACAACTACCTATGCGTAGTTTGGACTAAGGTCCCTATCAAATCTATACCGGGGTATTTATACAGAATGAGAACCAAGAGAAAGTACGAAGTTTAAGGAAGTCTGCTTCGGGCTCTGCAGAAGCTTCGTGCTGAGCTTTGTTTGGCTCCCGAGGTCCGGCGCCATGCAGACGGGCACTTTCAAGAACGATCTCAACAATGCAGCAAAGGACCCCGGAGCCGCCTTCTCGTGCTGGCACCCTTACGTCCCTGCTTTTGTTCACAAGTTTTCTCTTAGCCTCTCATAGCTCGCCGTCGCAGGTTGCCCTCCGCCTGTTGGCTGTGCCGGCATCCGTCGCCCAGGGGCAAGGCTCCAGTGATGGCGGCAGCAGCAGTATGTCAGGCCAGTGCCTGCTTCAGCTGCTTAACATGGACAGCGGCATCCACTACGTCCACATGCTAATGTCCCTCTGGCCAGCGCTGCTTGTGGCACCCTGAGCCGCATTGAGTGCATGGCTTTAAAACTTTCAGTCAGACCAGGGCCAACCGAAGGTGCTCCGAACTTCAGCGCGTCTTTCACCCACCCGAGGCATCTCTCGCCGTGTTGAAGGGCGGCTGGCTTGCGGCCGTGGTTGGAAGCAACGTGTTCCTGCCAGCCTTCATCGCCGGATTCGGAAAGTGCCTTGGCGGCCCCTAAAATTGTTTAGCTGAGGTTGGCAAAGCCGTGTTTTGGGTTTTAGTTGGTTCCTGGCCATAAATAATGTCTATAGGTGTTTCGGGTTTATGAGTTTCTATAACGTCGCACGGCCTAGGTACCTCGTCGCCTTCCGGCTGCGGCCTGAATCAGAAAACGAGGCCCTCGGCGTGCCTTGTTGGCCTTGGCGCTGGGGTAGTCGTTTTGAGCTTTAGGGTATATACGGTTTAGGAGTTTAGGGTTGTTTGTTTAAGGGTTCCGGTTGAGGGAAGAGCTCGCAAGCTTCAGGCGCTGCATCTGGATTTCCTTCCCCCCGGGCCGCAGATGAGTTCCCACGTTCCGCTGCGGATCGCAGCAGTGCTGGGTGCCATCGTGGGTTTCTCCGCGCTGAGCGTGTGCAGCTGGATCTACACCGTGCCTTGGTCGCCGAGGGTCGCCAGACTTTTCCTTGTAAGCCAAAAACCCGAAGCCGCAACAGGTCAGAACCCGATCGCCGGAGGAGACACGGCCGCACGTGGCCTATTTGATTCAGGCAGGCTGACCGGAGTCCTAAACCGAATCATCCGAAAAGCCCACAACCCTAAAACCCCTACATGAAAAGCCTACACCCTAAACCCCAGAGCTCTGCCAGGCATACCGACCTGAGTGTGCCATTTGGGAGGCCAGCCTTGCCTTGATAAAGGGTTAAAGGGTTACCACGAAGGTTTTATTAGGACTGTATGATAGTTTGGGGCTTAAGGGTGTTGGGTGCGGGTTTAAGGCTTTAGAGTTTTTGCAGCTCGAATGTGTTTGTTCCTCTTTTTGGCACTTTTTGTCTCGGTGTAAAACAATCGGTGAAGTTCCCGCAAGAAAGCTGCCATGACCGCCAGGTGGAGCGGCTGATGCGTAAGGCCTGCATTGGGGGGCCGGGGGAGGGGTTTACAGACCTGCAGTGCTAGGCGGAAATGGGACAATTCGTGCAGCATCCGTATCATTGGTTTCACATGGTCTGGAGGGCTCCTGGACGGCTCAAGCGCACATGCAGGCTTTTCTGTGGACCAAGGTCATGGTAGGACACGCATGGTGTGCACGGTTTCGAGCCACAAGAAGCGAAAGCGAACACATTCCTTAATCATCCACAAACCTGAAAAGAGTCTTCCTCTAAGCCATAGTTTTTTTAACCCAAAACCATAAAGCCAAAACCGAACCCTAAACCCGAAGAATGAGAGAAGAGTTCCTGCCAGGTGGTCCTTTCGCTGATCGCCACCGTCCTGCCTGTCACTTTGTCGCCCGTGGCCTCGTCGGCACAGCAGCCCAGGGCACCCCGAAAAAGATTGCAATACTTACGTACCTAGCGAGCTACATGCGCACATACCTATACATACCTGCCTACCTGGCTGCCTGCCTACCTGGCTGGCTGGCTGGCTCGCTGGCTGGCTGGCTGCCTGGCTGCC